CCTTTTTGATAAAGCTTATAGTTAGGGCTGATTCGATTCAGCCCCTAGTTTTGCTGATATAGGCTTAGTTTGTCGGGGGACACCTTACTTCTTACTTCTCTGTGTCTATACCTGTGTACTCTCATGTTCCCCACACATTTCTTTCTTTTTGGTGTCTATATACGCCGGGATCCGGAGTCATGGCTGATCCTGTTGCTGCGGTCCTGTGTCCTGGATCGCGAGCCCTGGATCTTGAGTCGTGGCTGTGCCTGTTGCTGTGGTCCTGGATCATAAGCCCTGGATGGATATCCTCATGGATTCATCTTCTTATTATAGACACATGCATTTCCAAACATTTGGACTACCTATGTTGCAAATGTATTATCTTTTCAATTTACACACGGCATATATTGCACGTCTGTCCGTCCTGGGAGAGGGATCCACGTGCAACAGAGGAGGTTTCTCCCATTTTTCCCATTAAACTGTGGGTTTTCTCAGGAAGTTTTTCCTTGTACGATGTGAGGGTCTAAGGACAGAGGGTGTCGTATTGTCATACTGATATTCTGTACAAACTGTGAAGTCCACTGAGACAAATGTAACATTTGTGATATTGGGCTATATAAATAAACATTGATTGATTGAACACCGGATTGACTTCAAAATATTACTTCTCACCTACAAAACCATCAACAACCTCTCAAAATTATTCACTCATTGGCTCAGTCAGTAGGAGCTTGGACTGGGAGCTGTAGGGTTGCCGGTTCAAGTCCCCGAACAGACCTAAAATATGGAGTGTGGACTGCTACTTGGAGAGGTCCCACAAACTTCTCATATCAGTGCTCAAGTCATGAGACTGTAAAAACTGTGCGTGTGTGTGTTTGTTTGTCTATGCAGGTCCCTGTCTGGTCGTATAGTGGGGGGGGTGTGGTGGTTTTTCACTCTGATTATCATCTCATCATACACTGCCAACCTGGCAGCTTTCCTGACGGTTGAGAGAATGGTTTCTCCAATCGAAAGTGCTGAAGACCTGGCTAAACAGACAGATATCACATATGGAACCCTCGACTCTGGATCAACCAAAGAGTTCTTCAGGGTAAGGGGCATGCAAATAGCAACTTCACAATCCAAAACAAAGATAAAACTACAAGTAGGAGTTGCGATGGTTGTTCCGGCTAACGTTTACAGTGTTCTACTGATCGGCAGTTGCAGCAGGTAAACCAGAATTGATTGAAACATTTATTGAAATAATGCAGGTTTTGCAGTATTCTGTAAATGTTTTTCAATGAGGTGCATTAATTTTACTTCAATGATACAAATGTGTTTACACGAAAATTCCACATTATACTTTAAAACACCCTGTGTACATTAGTAATACAGTGTACTTAACGCTACATACGTTTTTGCAACGTTTCATTGCTTCTAATCTGTGAATTTCTCTTTTTTCAGCGCTCTAAAATTGCCTTGTTTGACAAGATGTGGCAATATATGAAATCAGCAGAACCCTCTGTCTTCGTCAAGAAAACCTCCGAGGGCGTCCTGCGTGTCAGGAAGTCCAAAGGGAAATATGCCTACCTGCTGGAGTCCACCATGAATGAGTACATAGAGCAGAGAAAACCTTGCGACACTATGAAAGTGGGAGGAAACCTCGACTCCAAAGGCTACGGCATCGCCACGCCAAAAGGATCCCCATTAAGGTGGGTGGATCAGTATAACAATGCTAGCCAACCTGCACTGCCATGTACCATTCACACTACTAACCTGCTGCCTAGTTCTGTTTTCGCCCCTGTCACAGCTCATTTCTTGAATAGAGACATGTTTTATTGTCAATTTAAAATTTAGAGTAGATTCAGAATTTCTTTCATTCAGAGCTATAAAGCCCAGTGATGATCGGAATACACCTACTGACCATCGGCTATAGTAGTCAGGGAGTTTTAGCTAGTGTGTGAACTGTGGCTGTGTTCATGTACAGCCCTGCTCAGGAAATAAAGCACCATGGGGAGCGATGTAGTCTGGTCCCAAGCCTTAGTGCCAATTGGGTGTTGCAGTATGTGAGTGTGATGAATGGGGCATGGCGGCTTACTCGTTGTTATAATAATCCACCTACCCTGATGACATCTTCTCAGTGGTTTGTATTTGTACCATGGTTACCACAACTGACCATTGGCTGGTGGTGGTTGCCATGACAACTGGGGGAAGGCTGTTAAAGTTGGATATTTCAGGTCTCAAAGAAATACTCCAGCCCCATCTGCTGCTTTATCAATTTAACTGATTTCATATTCTGTCTGGTAAGGATAATTTGTTGTCAGGTTTTTCAGCAATTATGATGAGCTGGCTCTTTAAGGCCTGAATCAAGGGATTGTTTGTTGTTGTTCATAAGTATATGACATACACCGTGTGTGTGTGTGTGTGTGTGTGTGTGTGTGTGTGTGTGTGTGTGTGTGTGTGTGTGTGTGTGTGTGTGTGTGTGTGTGTGTGTGTCTAGAGCTGCATGCTAGTCACTGAGTCTGTTTTGTCGTTTCAGCACACTACAGATGGCTGTATGCTTATCTGTCTCTTATTTGTCTGTTTGTCTTTCTGCCAGTTGGCTCTTTTTGAGTTATGTTTGCCATTACTTGTATTGGTTGAATTTGCCATAAAGCAGCATTAATCGATTTCTGAAGACCAAAGTGCAATAGACAGTTATAGTGATTAGTTTGATATACTTCAGTATATTGACTAACCAAGATTATGTCTGATCTGTTAGCTTAAACCTGAACATCCCAAAGGACTAATTATAACAATGCACTGAGACAACAGTACACTGCTTGGCCCCTATTGACTGCCTGTTCATCTGCTTTTTTCATGACAGGGCACCAAAATGAGCTTATGGAGCAGCACGCAGCTGAAGGTCCTCATTATTGTCAGGTTATATTCAGTGCTTCAGTAATGCTTTATGTTTTTGCACCTGAATACCATGGTCAACATTAAAAATGCCAGGTAAACACTGCGTGCTCTTGTAAAATATATTGTGTTCTAGTTCTTGTAAACTATATTGTGTTCATCTCAATTTAATCATAAACATCGTCGTATAGCTGTGAACGGTGCTGACAGCAAAAAAGTAAAACCAACAAAGCATGGCAAACAACTTAAATGGAACTGTGACAGGCTACTCAGACTGCAGGTAGTTCATGGATTTGTCGTATGGAACTTGAGAACAGTGCAAGTTCACAACAACTAAGTTGTAGCATGACTGGTTGGAGTTTGATTACATTGCATGTCTTGTGATGTGACTATTGTGCATCACTCACACGCAAGTTTGATGATGAAACTCTCTTGCATCACTAGTTTCACTAACTTATCAACCATTTGTTATATTTAGCTTTCCAGTTGTATTGTCAGTGCAGATAGCATCCAGTCAGTTAAATTAAACTTGTTAGTCAAGTGTGATGTATTTAAGTTGGATGCAGTGGTTAGGGGATCTGGATCAGTGAGAACATCTGGAAGAACCAGTTGAACTTCGAGATGTTAAAAGAGCTAGAGAGTTGGTTGCTGACTCAGCAGCAGCAACTAGCAACCCTTTCACAAACTTCTCTCAGTGAAAACCTCAGTTTTATTAATATCGCCTAATGGAGCTTTATGTCCAATCCTTCCATATATCTAATGTATGAATGTTGCTGTTGTGCTGTGACGTGGTAGAACCAGAGACATCTTTTTTTTTTATAGGCCTTTATTCATGATTTTTTTTAATTCAGAACTAAATACTCATTAAAGTATTCACTTACTTTCTGCAAACTTCTCTTCTACGTTTCCGATGTCTCAGCTCCTATCATGATCTTTCTGTTGTTATTTAATGTTGTTTTCTCCACTACTGCAGTCAAAGTGGATGATTTATGTTATGTAAATGGCGGGTTCAGTTAAAAAAAGAAAAAATCCAACAAAAAAACCTTTGGCATATAAAAATCATAATATAAAAATGTAGCAATGATTTCTTAGTCAATGACAAATGAGATGGTCACACTGAATTTGTAAATAACTAAATTGGAAGTGAACTGAGCCTGTGCCAAGTGAGTAGTTACATTCGTACACCACAAAATATAGTGTTTTAAATGCCCTAAATCAGCATTCATAAATCACTTAGTAATACGTGAAGTTTGCTATTAACAAGTCTGCTTGATTCACTAGGAAACAGAATACTACTCTCCATTAGCACCAATTTCACCGCATATACATGTACATCCCGCCATTACATCATTACTTTTATGAAAAAAACTCTTCCTGCTGGATTGTCATTGCTCCGTTTCAAGAATCTATATATGTCAGCTCTTAAAAGTAAAACAAAGAAAAAACACTTGCATTTTTAAAGATAAAGTTTTAGTCTCAGGTAAGATTTTCTTTTGGGTAACTTATTAAAACTGCTTTGCAAAAATGACTGAATAACTACTTGAAGCCTAAAGTCTTTCATGCATTCTCAAAAATGATGCTGTGTACACGTTATGTGGAATGTTATGTGGAAAACTATTTTTTTCTGTTTTTCACTATGGAATATGTAGACACCCCCCCCCAGGGTTGCACAGGTTTTGCAGCATATGAGCTTTTCTGACAAGCACGAGAAGAGCCCACACAGGGCTGTGTTAAGCTACTGTTCCTCCACTGAGGTGGTTTGTGAAACACTGAATGTGTCGGGAAAACCTACAGGCTAAACCCAAAATCTGGCTCTGGCTGCAGGACAACATTAAATGTCACTAGTGCAAACTACAAAAAAAGGAGTTGATTAAAACCTGCATGTCAATTAAATGATAAGCCATGGTTTAAACTATGAGCTGAGCTGTCTTTATCTATGTTGCAATATTTAGTTTAGCTTATTTTCCTTTTATTATGTAGAACTGCCAAAGGAAAGGAGATATATTCCCTTGCAGGACGTCTGTCACTCACATATGCAAGATTCCTCATGGCAAAGGTGTGATAATGACTTTGGGGGATGGTGTTTAATTGGGGTTTGGTATGTCACAGACAGATGTTGTGTCAGAGGAGCTTCAAAGTATTTCTCCCATAGTGAAAACAGAAAGTTAGAAATAAACACTTTATTTGACACACTTCTTACTATTTGTGTGACACTGGCTCACTTCTCAAAGCCACAGTCACTAATATGATCTGAAAAAACAGAGGAAGAACTCAAAAATATTGACATTAAATGGTTATATGTTATGTATTATATCATTCATCATTATTCCTGATCAGGATGAAAACGGATAAATACAATTCCATACTTTGCATGCATACCCTTACTCTTAAACGAAGTGCATTATTCAAAATATTCTTGAATCAGTCCCTTTGAAGGTTAGACCAGGAGTTACTGTTACTTTCATTTACCATAATTTAGTGAGTGTTACACAGATGTTAAAAATCCCTTAAACCTAATGGCCTGATACTTAGAAAAGGTCAGAATTACCCCAGAGAGGAATCTCCTAGCAGACTCAAATTGATGGTGTTCATGGAGACGTGTACGAACAGCAGTGAGGCTGGCTCAAGAAGAAGCATTACTTTTGTCAGTAATGCCGGCAGATATTTTAATTGCCACGGGATGGGGAAGTTGATTTTTATGTTCATGTACACAGGGCTTTGATGGTATTTTATGGAATCTGAATCCAATATTTTTTTTCCCAATCTTATCTAGCTTTAAACATTCGAAAAAAATATAAAAATAGCTAAAATGTTGCAACTCATTCAGCTTTTATAATGCTTAGAGCCTGTAGCTATAATTTCAAAAAGAAAAGTATCTAACACTTAAAGAGCATCTTGCAGGTTGTTTTTTTTTCTACATTTATGCTTAAACTTGCTTGAAAATTACAATTAAAAAAGTCAATGTAGGATTTGATATGTTTTACGAGACATAAGGGCAGGAATTCAGAGGGAAAGGAGCAATTTTGAGCTGAGCTCTTAAAAACTGTTTTTTTTTTTAGGTCATACGTCAAATGCGTCATATTACATTACAAAGGGTAAACATCTCCCCTCTCTGACCGCAGGTATAGTTAGTAGTTGCGTTGAGTTGAGCGGTTTAGTTTTAGTGAGCTGGTATTTTTCGGTAGTTTTACATTGTATTTCACCATTTGTAATCATGGTGCAGTATTGTGTTTGTGCAGGTTGCACAAATACCAGCCTGTCAGGACATCGAGTCCACAGTAAAAAGGACCCGAGCTAGCGTTCGTTCCTGGGTGCGTTGTGCATCCACCTCCCTGCAGCACATACTCTCCACAGCTTTATCAGGAAACCGTATTACTTCTCTCTCCCCCCCCCTTCGCTGCTCTCTCGCTCCCCTCCGGTACACGGCACCGTAAGACGTAGTGTGGAGTTGCATTAGGTAACGCTGTGGTGGCTGTACTGCTCCAGCTGTCTCCTTTGTGTTTGTTTGTTTCCCCCTGTCTGTGTTGTTTGTGTGTGCGTGGTGGTTGTCACTCCTGGCTCCCGGCTCAACCTCCACTCACCTGCTGCAATCAGCTGTGCACCCTCCCCGACTACACACCTGCTTTCCATCAAGCCATTT